CCCATGCTCTGGTCTTTAAATCCACCCCCACCCCGCAGAAGAAAGCCCCTTGGGGTTTCTAGGCGTTCTTGCAGGTTCAGGCGCTGACTCACCTGCACCAGGCACCAGGCTCCCTCTCTGGTCCAGGTGGGACCTGGGACATGCTGACACCCATTCCCATCCGGGTGGGGGTGGGAGGGCAGGAGGCCTCTGTTTTGGATATTCTCAGGAATTTTTTAAGTGGGTGTATGTGCAGTAAAACCAACATCTATTGCACAAATGGCAGGACTGAACGCACGTGGAGACCAGGCTCTCTGGTTGCTTCTCCCCAAGGCCAAGGCTCGGAAACGACCGTGATTCCCTCGGATGCTTAATGGGGTTCCCCTAACCGCTCTTGCTGACAGCTGCTACTAAGGGGTCCACGCCCTGTTCATTACAGTGTCTTAGCTCGGAAAGCGTCCCTGTGTCACATGCAAACGTGTAATAAAAAACACGGTGGTTTCTGCTCTTTCTGTGCCAATGATTCTATAACCCGAACCCCACCTCCGAGTCGTGGCGCGGCAGGTTTTATTAGGACCGCGTCTCGCTCTGTAGATTAGGTCCACTGCACCAGGGAGCTCGGACGCGGCGAGAAACTTACAGAGTTTGAAAACTTTTAACTGTATGATTGTTGTGGACTTGCTGGAAATTATATGTTTTTAAACCAAAAAGGGTTTCTCTCTTCTGATGCCACTCCCAGGCCGTCTGATACAATTAACATGGAATTCGGCCCAGGGTTTGGGATTTTGAAAAGGTCCCTGGGTGATTCTGACGCTCAGTAAAGAAAAAAAATACGATGCCGAATTGGTTGATATTTTAAAACTCTACTTAAAATAATCGTTACCATTTCTCAAGTCCAATTTTTAAAATATGCTATTCGGCCTCAAATAAGCTTCTCTCTGCAAAGTTTAAATGTCTCGTTAAATGAAATGAAAACTAGAGAGTAAAACACAGAAACCGATTGTGAAATAACTCCCCTGCTTCCTGGTCTCTAACAGGTAAGAAATATTCTCAAGGATAAAACAAACATTTGTCCGGATTCTAAGAGCTGTAAGACGCGTTGGGGTCAGCAACACCCTCGGGTGCTTCCCCTTATTTACGTGTTGAATGGGCGACCAGCGGGGACGAGTCGGGGAAGTGGTTCTAACCCTCACTGCTGTCTTTCTGGTCTTAGAAACGATCGTTATCAGGGAAGAATTTGGAGAGCGGGGTTAGGCTGAGATCTCCAGCAGCAGCCGGTTGCCCTGCAGGCTGTGCCCTGCCCAGGGACAGCCCTAGAGGGACCATGCTGGATGCAAAGGCAGGAGCTTGGAGAGAGGGTTGGGCTGGGAGGAGCAGAGCCGGGCTGTTAGGGTCAAGGGCACACAGCACACTCCCTGCCCCGCACCCCTGCTCCGGAGTAGGGGAGAGTTCCTTGCTGCTGGCCCTCCAGCCTCCTCCGCCCTTCCCCAGTTGCCACCCTCTGTCATCATCTTTTCTTTCAAATTTATTTTTTATTGTTGACAGTATTACAGATGCAGATGTCCCCCATTTCCCCCTTCTTTGCACCCCTCCACCCAGCCCCGGCCCCACCCCAGGCCTTTACCACACTATTGTGAGTTTCCATGGGTTGTGCATATGTGCATATAAGTTCTTTGGTTCCTCTCTTCCCGTCCCTCCCACCCCCCTTCCCTCTGAGATCCCTCAGTCTGTCCCATGTTTCCCCGCCTCTGGACCTATTTTGTTCATCAGTTTATTTTGTTCACTAGATTCCACAGAGAAGTGAGACCGTGTGACACTTGTCTTTCTCTGACTAGCTTATTTTGCTCAGCATAATACCCTCCAGGTCCCTCCATGCTGTTACAAAGGGTAAGAGATTCATCTTTTTTACAGCTGCGTAGTATTCCATGATGCAAATGTACCACCGCTTTTTTATCCACTCATCTACCGATGGGCACTTGGGCTGTTTCCAGATCTTAGCTATTGCAAATAGCACTGTTATGAACATAGGGGAGCATATATTCTTTCTGGTTGGTGGTTCAGGATTCTTAGGGTATTTTCCCAGAAGTGGGATCCCTGGATCAGACACTCCACTCCCACCTCTTGGCTCACTGGTCTTCAGGCTGCCCCTGGGTCTTAGCAGCCCCACCGACCTGACCTCTGCCAGCTTCTGGCAAAACCTCCACTGAAGCTACGCGGCTCATTTTCGGGCTTTAAGGACTTAGAGCCGGTTACCCCCACCAGAGTCATTATATTTTAATAGCAGATGCTCCGTGGGACCCAAAGCCTTCACCAAAAGACCTTCAGTGCCTTGGATGGTGGGATATAAAGTGGTACCCAAAGCTTGCAGGACAGTTTGGCAATATCAGTGTATCCTTGAACCCCACAGCTCCTCTCTGGCATCTCCTGCAGAGATAGACTCAAGCTCACAAAGAGGCGCATGAGGGATGCTCACGAAGGCAACACAGTATCAGAAAAGCGAAAATGCTACAAACGGCCATCACTACAGTGCTACATTATGGCACAGCCACGGGGTCGTATACTATGTAGCAGTTAAAACAACGAGACCATGTAGCAAGAATCCCAGGACTAACTGCACACAAACCAGAGCAGGATGTCAGGATGCTGGGCATCCGACATCGTGAAGAGCGACACAGGAGCTGGACGTCACTGCCCAGCCCGTGGAGAGGGAGGTTTTTATGGTGTTTTCCCCTTTTAACTTAAGCAAATCCTCTGAGAACATAACAGCTAATTCTGGAAGATCTCCATTGATGATAGAGAACATGAGAGACACCTGTGACTTCCGAATGAGGCAGGAAGGATATCTGAGTTCTTCCCAAAGCCTTTCTCACGAGGGGGAAGGTCAACTTAAAAATCAGCAGTCGCCAGTGAGGAAGCGATGCCATCTCCACGGGCTGGACCGAGGCCAACCATCCGAGATAAGGCAACGGCCAGCCGGTGAGCTGGCAGGTTGTGGGGGCGACACGCTAGCAAAAATAAAAAATTCTACGGTCGCCTCAAGCGTTTGTG